AGAGTTCGCAGAATTCTATGACTTCAATTAATTATGCGCATTCCGTCGTCTTTCCCTTGTTCGTACTTCTAACTTGCAGTTTCCCTGGTCAGCACCAATTTAGGCTACTGAAGTCTTCTCAGGTGACCTACATCTTAGCTATTTGCTTAACATAGAACCACGTAAAGAGCAAGCTCAGCCTGCTAAGTATACATAATAGTGAACCCTTTTAATGTAAAATAATCTGCTTGTTAAATATAGCCGTCTATAGAGATTTGAGTTTCTAAAAGTGACTGAGAAATTGCATCTCTACAATTTCATCCTACACGGATAACTAAATTGTACGAATAGCTAAAAACGTCGAGGAATTCTACATAGTAAGGTAAGAATATAATATTTGCAACTTTCCAGTAGAACAAGGGAATAGGAACGCCTTAAAATGAGGATGTCTTTGAGATACATTACTGGGAACTTATGGACAGGGTTAAGAGTAGGATCATGGTTAAGTTTGGGGTTGTGATTAAGGGTATGGTTAGAATCAACTTAGGGGTAAAGTTAAGTGAATGATTGATACATGTGAACAAGAATCCGTCCTGGATTTTAGCGCAAGGAAACCTGCTTTACGAGAGCGTGGGCATTCCTATTTCCGTGTCCTGTTAGGGAATATGCCGGTGCCCAACTAACTGATAAAACCGCCTCTGTTCAAGTCCTTTCTATTTCCACGTACTGTCAATTTACTTGCTGCGCCTGGAGATTTCGGGCGTGGGACTATCTTTAGAGGTCCGACCTGCCTTTGACTTATAATAATAACCTGTTTTCCCATTTGCAGTATTCCCTTTTTTCCTTAAATTCCGCCAATATAAGGTCGATTACCCATCAATATGCATCAGTTGCCTGAACAACAGGAGTTTATTTCGATGGCATTTATTCTATTTAGCTCATCAAGACAACTAAAAATGGCTTTAATTTAATATTCTTTGATCAATTTCAACACAACTAAATATTTATTTATGCTCGGTAACCAATGAATAGACGTTTAACCAATTCCGTAAGACAGTTGGTCGGGAGTTAGACGGCCCTACAAGACAGTTTTGCCATTTCGGGTTTAGTAACTGCGCAACCACAGACGCATCGACATGAGTACCCAGAGGAAATGATGGAAACGTGATCATGTCTGAAAGAGACGAGCGAAACACCGGACCCGCGATGCATTCTATGTCGTTTTAAGTACTCATTGAACTTTTGACTTCCACCAGTGAAAAAAGATTCAGACACTCTGTAAGAGTTCGCAGTTACCTTTTCCAGATAAAACTTGCAGATAAAACTTGTAAATTCTACCGTAAATTGCACAGTTCGACCTTGCCGACCCAACGCAGATTATTAAGAGGATTATTAAAAGTTTAACCAGTAAGCAGATCGGATGAACTCTCTACCAGGCGCCGGAGTCCTATGTGTGTGATAACATTTTTCCGATTCCACCATATCATGCGTCATTTAAATCGGCTGATTAACTCGATTGCAAAACAGGTTGACATCTAATTAGTTACTATTTAAAAAGTTTCCCTTTAAAAAAATGAAAGTCCTAATTATCCAGTTTGGAAAGTTGTGCCCTAAACTTAAGTTTACGTGTTTCATCGTTTATTTTTCTAGATGGCTATGAGAACGCTCATTGCGCACGATCCTCAATAGCTCGGCTGCCTCGGTTTGTGGTGAAGCCGCGGCAAGACAGAGCGTTTCGTGTAGGTTTGTGTTGGGTGCACACATATCTAATAAAGCCTATTTCTCAGAGAATTTGCCACTTTTTGACGATATCTTAACTCTTTTTGCAATTGCGAAGTATTAGTTGCCAATTTAATCTCTTCATTTGTAGTCGCCCGCTGCACATCATTGGGTTAATCGAATTCTGTAATTATAGCCAAGCGGTGTTTGACATAATATCTGAACGTAGTGTTTACAGGATGTATTTTCCGTCTTTGGACGAATCATATGGTAACTTTCAACGCCATTTTCTGAGCAATCCATGTTAAGCGTTTTAACGAGGATGCCAGCCGCCTATCGAAGCTATGCGAATGCCCTATCTTGTCAATTTATTCGCCAAAAACTAAGCCATTAATATTTCAATCAGCTTCGTGACCTCAAGCATCTCCTGGGACTTGGAACAGTATTCACTCGGTATTAAGTTTCTTTCTTATGCATTCTATCCTGTTTCAGTTAATACATAATTATTGATTTAAAAAACTCGTAGTCTGTCCTAAGAAGGGGTAATTGAGAAAACTGAAGCAGATCGCAGTTGGTCACAGAGTCAGTGGCACCGCGGATGTGACAATCTTCACATTTGAATTCCTGTTTGCAATGCAGCACGGCAGAGAGTGCAGCTGTATGGTTGTAAATATTCATCCCTCGTGCATACAGGGGCTAGATATTAGGGCTCCCGCCTTTGCTGTACATCTGCCTTGCATTTGTTTGCCTCATAGAGGACGCAACAACAAAGTTTTCGCCAATTATGCATATGGACAACCCCTTCGAATTGTATCAAAACAACCTTTTTGTGGCTCGTCAGATAATCTCTGTTTCGGTCCGTCCGTCTGCAACCGCGTCTTCAGCTGACTAGAAGCGCGCAGGACGCCGGCTCTGCAATGCGGCCCACCACCTTACGGCCAAAAGTTCGGGAGACTTGGTAGACCTGCTAACCATGACAATGTCCACAGGTTAATGACGGGACTGTATGCCAGCGCAGTATATATAGGAAGTAGGATATTCAAACAGGAGATAAATTGCACGATTTGGTTGATGTGGACGTCTCTGGAATTGGTGCCAGATCTCTGCGCTTGTGTTTCTAGCGTCCTGCCTCCCACCTGTGTAGAAAACAAAGTAGCCCAGCCCCTAATCGTGATGATTGGCCGCGGCATGGAGGGACTATTGGAGTCCAGAGAGCTGTGCCACTTGGAATTGCGAGAAAACTTTGTAGTGGAAAATTTGCCAATAGATAATGAGTCACGTGGCAACCTTTTGGAAATCGAGTGTGCAACCAAACAGAACACCTTGACTTATCCATCCGTTCAAGTCAGAAATGTTAACACATACAGTAGGCGTGCTACCTCCTGAAATGCTAACCAAAATTCTGAAGCGGGTTTTCAACTTGATTTGCTGGAGTAAGGTTATATTATTAAATATTATGCTGAATACTTCTAAGATAGTTCAGCCACATTAGCATGCAGGCTTCTGGCTGGCTGCAAAAATTGCTCACTATAAAGATTACTGATTAAGTAGGCTGAATTCTTCCGATTTCATTTAATGCCCTTATAAAGAGAAACATATTTTAGGGAAGACATGCAAAAAGATATTCTTTCTCAGACTTGTTTAGTAGAAAGTTACGCCTTTTCCAGATTTTTTTTAATTAAAAGGGGTATTTAGGTTTTAAACTAGTTGCTCAGGTTGCGATAATTTAAAACTGTGAAATTTTGAAATATAAAGCCTCTTATTTGTCTATTCGGTAATGCTGCTTGTAAAGTATACGTCGTGGTTCACACCCACTGCACTTTTTTATGAGCCATCTGAGACATGTCTCTACTGACGTATATAACTGTGGGATTTTTCCTACACGGAAAATGTACAGTTTGTAATTCCGAAACCTTACATACAACTGCGACAGCAGATCAGCTCTATAATTATTCGGCAATTGAAAATGTTTTTAAAAAACCGAATTACCCTTCATCTAAATACAAACTTGGGGGAAGATGTAATTTGCAATCCAAGTTAATGCAGAAAATAATATTTTCGTGCAGATTCTTGATAAAATTTATTTAATGTGCCAGGGCTTCGAAAACCAATCTTAAAAATTATATTATTTAATGAGTTATTTTTTGGAAACCGAAGGTATCGCAGTCGATCGGAAGGAAGATTTTTGAAAATCTGGCCTACCGAGATGACTGAAAAGTTTCGAGTTTATACCTCGCGATAATATATATTTAGATCCTACTCAACTGCTTTTTTAATCTTTTCAGAATTTCGGCAAACAGTACCTACTGTAGCTACCTCAATAACATCCGCCACACAACTCTACCTCACTCTAGTAGTTAATAGTCTAATATAATACCTACGTGGTCTACACCCCAAGCAACGTGAAGAATATGGCATTGGTTATCAGTCTTCTTTGGTTTTTGAAGTTTCTCTTACAGTTCCAGTGGAGCCGACCTTTCACTTTCTACAGCCTCCACTAGCACACATTACCATCATTAACTTGTAAACGTATTTGCTAGCCTAGGGTTCACTCAAGCAGAAATCCATATCCGTTTTCTCTCATTTGCTTTAGAAAAATTTCTGACTACAACAAAAAGAGATCATTACCAGGTTTTATCTCTTCTGGGTTCTAGTTTACCGTTGCAATCAGAAAAACTCCAATTTCCCCTATTTTTAACATTCAATGTTTCGGAGGTCCGAGAACATCATTTTAAGCTCCAAAATTCAGTTCATCTGAATATTTGTTGCTGTAATTTCTGGCAAACAAAGCATAAATGACCATCTAAGCCGCTGGTGATTACTGATTATTGTTCGGCAGAAGAGCAGTTTTTAGGGCTATTTGCTGGAGCCATAAAACGGAACCCCCGAATTTCCTTTTGCCATCAGAACCAATCAATCAATTAATTCCGGGTCAATGTTTACTCGATATCCTATATCCCAGACAACTGGCTTGCAGATTCAGGGATTCCAACATTTGGCTCAAATAACGACCGGACTCGAGTTTGAGCCCCACAGTTGCCTAGTATAAAGTTGGAATATAAGTCACCAACAAAAGTAAATAAGCCAGAAAGGATTATGCCAATCGCTCTTGCCTTTTTCTTCCATGATTCTTGCATCTGATATTTACACTATGAAATCAAATTCCGCTGATAACTGAGCTAGTGATGATGTTGATGGTCCCTCCACCCCCCAACGAGTCGACAATTCTCCAACATTGAAGTTCCAACATCTCAGCGGCCTCAATTACTAATCTTATTCTCCCTCGCTTTTTGTGTTGCTAGATGAATTGGGACGGCGGAAACAATGGCAATGAGATGGATGGACCCCAGCCCCGACAGAGCAAACGCATGCGTGTGGAGTCTGGCCCATGCGACCAGCCTGCCCTCAGTCGTCCCAAAATCACATTTGGCACCTACCTGGACAAGCCATCTAATCAACTCCTCGATGACCTGCAGTACAGTGGTCGACTGCCCATGCCTAATGAACAGCGCAAGTACATCTTTAACCAACCCCGTTTACCTAGAACTGCTACTTACTATGCATACTCCATGCGCCACTGTCAGATGCGAGAAGTGGTAGGCTGCCGATGGTCTCGATAGTTTGATCATCAAAGAGTTTGTTTCTTCTGTTCTCCCTCAAACCTGACCATTGATTACCAGCCCTATCCACAGTACGGCTTAGAATTCATTCAACATGTCGGAGTATGCGAAAGATTGATACTCTTTCATTGAGTTAGGTTGTAATACTGATTATCGTGTAGCCAATTCTGAACTCATCTCAGTAAAGATAGGATATCGGCTTTTTAACGAGCTTCTTTCTGACCGCTAACAAAACGTATGTACTGTAAAAAGAGGCAACTTAAGTATTATGCATTTTAATCATTCATTTTGGCTGCCTGTATAATTTGAAATATATTTTATAGAAAACACATAACAATTCTTTCTTGTACTCGTTTGGTAGCAAATCACGCCTTCCTTAAATTTAATACTTAAAGAAAGGGTATCTTTCGGTTTAAAAAAAAGTTTCTAGTTATAAGCTTTTTACGATTGTGAGGTGTTCATTCATTATATAGCGCATCCGTCAATTTATTAATTCTGTCTATAATGTATACAGCGTGTTTCACATCTGTTGCAATGTTTTCTAACAACTATGTGACTTCTTTCTCAAACCGTCGGCGAAAACGTACTTTTCCTAAAACAGGATGTGCACGGCGCACAGTTTGTAAACCTTTAATTCAAGCGTATCAGTCAGTACGTTTAAAACTTATTTGGTAATTTAGAAACCTTTTCAAACCTAAAGATACCCTTTCTTTAAGTATAAAATTTAAGGATGGCGTAAGTTGCTACCAAACGAGTACAAGAAAGAATTTTTTATGTTTGCTTTCTTTAAAATATATTTGAATTTATAAAGGCAGCCAAAATGAATGATAAAAATGCATACTACTTAAGTTGCCACTTTTTACGGTACATACGTTTTATTAG